AAAAAAAGGGCTAGGGGCAATTTCAAATTTTTGTGGCCAAAAAAAGAATTTGGTAGCCAAATTTAGCCACCAAAGGGCTAAAACGGCAACACTGGTTGCCAGCAACTGACCCGCTGGCTGCCCACTGGCATTTGTTCAATACTCAAAAATGCACTTGGTAAACAAACCTTTTGGGTGTTGGCCACATCAAGCAGCTCATCTGGATGAAATGAAAAGGCTGTTAGATGTAATGCAGCAACGTGCTCCCGATGTTGAACATCAGTTCAAAGAAAAGTCAAATGAGTTGGAAATGGCGCAGCTTATCATACGCCAGTTGTCGGATAAGGCCAATGTAAACCAAGGCCGCAATCGGATAGAGACCTCGACGCAGACGCAATTTATGTACGAGCAACAGATTAGAGACTTAGAAGTAAGTTAGAAGTAGAAGTGCATTTGAAGATGTTTACATTATTATGTTTTCGCATTTCTTACAGGCTATGGTGCAACAATTGACGTATGCCAAAGAAAGGAATTTATGATGGTCACAAATATATTGGCACAACATAGCAAGTGCATATGCCAAGTTGGAAAAATTGACAATGCGCGAGTATAAAATGAATAGGTGTTCTTAATTATAAATATTACTTTACCTTTTCTTTTGCAGTGGCCAAAAAGAAGAGTCTTTTTGATGATCAACCGCAATAGATTGAAGAATTGACTTACATCATGGTGTATGCGTTACAATCTAAATTAGCCAGCATGGGCACCGACTTCAAAGAGATACTAGAAGTGCGTATAGAAAATCTCAAACAACAAAAAGCGCGTGATACAACACCATTGCTGGGTGCAGTCGGAGGTAGTGGAATACAAACGCCGCAGCAGATTGCATTATATGATGACTCCGATAGTTACGTGCAACAGCGGGCTGAGACTATGCAGAACATTGAATCGACTATTGTCGAGCTAGGCGGTATATTTCAACAATCAGCACATATGGTTAAGGAGCAAGAGGAGATTGTGGAGCGTATCGATACAAACATACAAGATGCCGAATTGAACATAGAAGCGGCGCATGGTGAAATATTGAAGTACTTCCAAACTGATAANAAGGAGCAAGAGGAGACTGTGGAACGTATCGATACAAACATACAAGTTGCCGAATTGAACATAGAAGCGGCGCATGGTGAAATATTGAAGTACTTCCNGCCGGCTAGGCCGTATATTTCAACAATCAGCACATATGGTTAAGGAGCAAGAGGAGACTGTGGAGCGTATCGATACAAACATACAAGATGCCGAATTGAACATAGAAGCGGCGCATGGTGAAATATTGAAGTACTTCCAAACTGATGATAAAAATCTTC